TCTAAGGAAGAACATGCAAGAGTTGTTTTTCAGCTCTAGCCTCTGGTTCGAAAGTAGTGGATGGCTGTTGATTTCAAAGCAAATGCTCTGTTCCTTCATAGGAAGTCTATTGTTTTAATATTTTCTAACGACTAGCATCTAATAAAATAGTATGCATTTACACTGAGATACCTCCCAAGCACTCAAGGTTGAGTGACAGACTTTGATGAATAGCAATTAACAGTTAAACAGATCAACCTAAATGGTTGTAGTCTGACGTCAGCGCGGTTCAGTAGGGAGGAGCAGAATGTCAGATGAGGACTTGGGGACATCAGCGTAGTTTCCACAAGCCAACAACTAGGCGGCACTCTCCAACAGGACTTTCTGTGACGATGGAAATGCTCTATGTCTGCAGTGATTGAACACTTGAACTGTGTCTGGTGCAGCTGAGGCACTGATATTAAATCACACATAATTTCAATTAATTTGAATGTGAGTTTACATACCCACATGAAGGCAGCGCTGGATAGCTCTGGCTAAGACATGGCAGCAAAAAATCAAAATGGCTTTTTCTTCTCTCCTTCTCTCCCCACCTCTCTTTTATTTCCTGCTAGCTCTGTCTTACCTTACCATTTTTCTCTCCCAACTCCGTGACTACTGGATGAAATAAGAGGGCAGAGTAGCTGCTAAGCAAGGGGGCTCCTGAGGAGCTGTGGAAAGTGCAGTTACTGTGCGAGGAACGAGTTTGGCGGTGGGGTTTGGGTGGGGCTGCGGTAAAAGCCACGCGCCTAAGTTCCTTTAGAGGTGGCCCTCCCTCAGTTTGTCCTGATTTCCTTTGGGCGCTGGACTCTCAGTGGGTGGGGACATGGAAGCGAGAACCGAATGTCACTCTTCCAGTCTAGCGCAGCAGTGGCTGCCCAGTAAGTGTCTCTTGCGTAGAGGATGTCTGAGTGTGGTAGTCTCTCCTGCCACCGCTGGAGTTGTCAGCCCAGCTTACCATCTCTCAGGAATGCTAGAGGCGTAAACCAGCTAACTCCTGGCCCCGGAGACTAAGCAGTTATTTACTGGCAGGAGTAAGTATTATGATGGAAGATACTGTAGCATTTTGAGTAATTAAACACACTAAAGGGAAGTTAGCCGGTGACACTTTGCTGTAGCAGGTGGAATTGTAATTGTTATCATATTGTTACAAAACGATAATTTATAGTGTGGCAGGATCTGTGATTCTGGACAGTGCAAGCATCACTGAAATATTTTTTTCCTCCTTTTGACCTCATAGGCAGTATTGATAATCCAGATACATCATTGCCTACCTGGGCCATAGTTCTGCTTGCAGTATCGTTTTCATTGCTTTTGATCCTGATAATTGTTCTGATTATAATATTCTGCTGCTGTTGTGACTTCGGGAGAGAGAAAAAAGGTAATTTTTTTGTTCATATAGATTTGTTTATATGTTTGAACTTTTGGTATGAGCCGTTGAAGTTAATGAGCTTGTCACCTCTTTCCAAGAACGCATTAACCACAGTGAGGTCTCACCTCACACCTGGTGGAATGGCTATCACAAAAAGATGAAAGATCAGCACTGGCGAGGAGGTGCAGAAAAGGGGACCCTTGCGCCCTGTTGGTGGGTGTGTGAGTTGAGACAGCCATCATGGAAACCAGTATGAGTTTCCCCCCCAAATCAAAAATAGAACTGCCACATGATCCAGCGATCCCATTGCTGGGTTCACATCCAGAGGAAACAAAATCAGTTATGTCCAGGTGTTCTCCCTTCATTGCAGCATTATTTGCAATAGCCAAGGCAAGGGATCAACCTATGTGTCCGTCAGCAAAAAAGTACATAAAGAAAATGTGGTACACAGGCACAATGGAATACTATGCAGCCTTAAAAAAGAAGAAAATCCTTCTTAGGCAGCATGAGGGAAAAAAAAATGAAGAAAATTCTGTCATTTGTGACAATATGGATGAACCTGGAGGACATCATGCTAAATGAAATAAGGCAGACACAGAGAGATGAATATGGAATGATCTCACTTATATGTGGAATCTAAAAAAGTCATAAAAATGTCGAACTCATAGAAACAGAGAGTGGAATTGTGGTTACCAGGGGATGGGAGTCAGGGGCAGTTGGGGAGATGTTAGTCAAAGAGTAGAAAGTTTCAGGTAGACAGGAGAAATAATTTCTGGAGCTCTGTTGTACAGCATGGTGGCTGTAGTTAATAATGATGTTTTGTATGAATTTTGAAAATTGCTAAGAGGATAGATCTTAAATGTTCTCACCACAAAAACATGATAAGCCTGTGAGGTGCTGGGTATGTTAATTAGCTTGATTTAATCATTTTACAGTGTATACATACATCTAAATATCACATTGTACATCATAAATGTATGCACTTTTTTTTTTTTTGAGACAGAGTCTCACTCTGTTGCCCAGGCTAGAGTGCTGTGGCATCAGCCTACCTCACAGCAACCTCAAAGTCCTGGGCTCAAGTGATCCTCCTGACTCAGCCTCCTGAGTAGCTGGGACTACAGGCA